ATATTATGTTCTTTGAACATAAAATAATATAAAATTGATTTGCCAGACGTTAATTTGATTGTTAAGTATTGAATATAAATAAAAAAGTAATGAAAAGTATTGTGGTATAATGGTTGTGGTTAGAAAGAGACAGTTTAAAGTGCAAGAGAGATAGAAAGCGACAGCAGCGTATCGGCTAGTGTACAACAGAAAATTTTAAGAATGAGACAGGAAATAATTGCAAAAATACATTACTTACACTTGTTCTTGTAAATAAAAGTTGGAATGAAAAAATTTCAACATATAAATGAAAAAATAATTAAAATAGGCGTAGTTTGCTTGATTTACCATAAAAAATAAGTTCTCTATTTTTGAAATTACGTGTTTAACATTACTTCTCGAAAGGTTCATGTAATAACTAATCAACTAGATATAGATCATACAGAACTGTGTTGTTTTTCCATGGTTGTTTTGCCTGGTCTTTGCTACCAACCTCTTGTAAGAATCGAGCAGTTGTGATAATATTTTTTTTGGTAATAAATCAGTGTTTTTTCTGATATTCTAAAAGATCTTCATAAATCTGTTCTTTTACATTCTTACTTTTCAAAAATTGATCAAAATGTAACATCTGTACGCCTAATGCTGTTAACGGAAGCAGTCGTTTGTAAAGTTTAAAGTGTTACTGTCGATAATTATTCCATTTACAGACCCTGAAGCCATGATTTTACTTACTTTAGTTCGCACTCATCGATGAAAGTACCGACAGTTAAAAAAAATCCATCATTGAATGAAACGATCCAAGATGTATGAAAAGATTAGTAAATCTGAGACCTTCTGTTGCTTGAATTTTATAAGTTATTTTAGCAATTGCTAAATCATATGTGACTTGTACATAAGCTCGGCCACATTGTTTACCAACTTTTTGTGCTTGTTCCATTGTGAATACGACCACTGACACATTTGTTGGTGATAAATCAATAGGAGTCAGATATGATACTTTCTGTTTTGGACTATTGTCTCCTATCATCCTGCAATTAAATCCTGTCCAAGATGGTGTGTTTGGCACGTGAAAAACATATTATAGCAAATGTAACAGATCAATGGTTTGTGAACAAGAGAAATTTTTAGGTGATGGTGATGATTGAT